ATGGGCTTCAGGTAAGCCTGCTCGTGAATCTTTCTTACATTTATATGAGACCTCTTGATGTTAATTGCAATGATGACAGGGCCCCCAGTTGGAACGTTTCATTAGCACCGCTAGGATATGGACCATTGAGTATCGCTCGTTGATGCATGACTCGGGCATGCACCAAGTGCGCAAGCAAGATTCATGGAAAGAGGTGATCGCACTTCATATTTTCTGCTTGTGCATTTTTCTTGTGTAAACTAACATCCTTTGATGTTTGCAGCACTTTACTCCGCTGAATGTGAAGTTATTCGAGAACCATTTTGGCAAACTTGCCAAGAAACTTGGTTATTGAGTGATGCCGACAGAACTTCACCAGGAATGGATGGATTGTTGTGGTTTGAACTGCTGGATACACTTCTCAATTGAGGTTGGACTGAGTGTCTCTCATTTTCTCAGAATCTGGTACACTACATGGACTCTTTGTTGCAACAATCAAGTGTAGCATCAGGGTATAATAGCATTGCTGCTGATTGTGCAATACATTTAGACCGCTGCTCTACGCATTTGCTTGCAAGTTCCAGCTTGATGAGTGCATGTGGTACTGTACTGTACCTGTTCACCTTGTACGGGGGGAAATGGGGGAAAAGCAGGGGCAAGGGAGCAAAATAGTTGTAACCATTCATAAAAACTTGGAAAGCAAGAGCAAGACGATTGCTCAGGATTTGGGTCAGGTGAAAAGGGGATGTGGATGGGAAACGCATAATAAACCTGAAAAATCTCAACATGGCAAGACACCCTTGAAAGAAGAATAAGGGAAGCGGTAACACAGTGAACCAGGGGAGCATGTAGCACCACAACAAGGCAGAGTCAACCATGGGAGGGAGGAAACGGACGAAAAGACGAGTTTTGTATGAGGATGTTATACGCTAAAAAGCTTCTCTCTGCGTTGAAGCGTGATACTATCCCACACACAGCAGCGCCATGGAAGATGCACTTGCGACCTGACGCGTGGTTTTACACGAATCACATGAGCCACGCATCCATCACCAGCAAAACTCCGTAGGTGTGCTGTGTTTGTTATCATGCCTCCCATGTGCCCTCACACAACATTTCTTGTGAAGAGGGGTATCGTAAGAGGCAGTCAAGAGAGGTGGATGGAAACACCTACTGAAAACACATAGATCCAGCAATTTTTCTGTATAGGTTAAGTGTGCTATAGGATTAGCAGGTAGATTGCAACATGTACCACACAAAGCACAGAGGGGTTGGAGGGACAACAAGGAAATACTAAAAGGCCTGCAGGGAGCAGAATGGGTGGCGAGGCAAAAAGAAACAATATACCATGTGAGGAAAAAAAAATAAGTACATGAAATACTGATAACATGGCACCCCATGGAACAGGCTACAAAGGTGGCTGGTGGGGCACGTTCCAAGGGTAGTACTACATATGCGGATGGTCAATGTGGGATGGTAAATGTCAAATGAGGCATTCTCACTGTGTGTCAGACAGAATCACGACTCACGCACGCAGCCTGGAACATGGTTTGTGACGTGTGGCATACCGATTCATCGCAGCTAGCAGCCATGCCACCTGGAGCCTTGGTCGACCTAAAAGTCCCGGTTCGCTCTGTGTTGCAAACCTGCACGGTGGTATGAATGTCCTCCTGTGCGATATCAGTTTTTTTACTTTGGGAAGGTGGCCATGAGGGGTACAAGGGGGAGATGGGAGGAAAAGACAAACGGAATAGACTAAGTCGGTTGAGAACTAAAAAAGGTGCTAGAACATAGAAAACCTAGAAATGAGGGGACGAGGACGGGAAGGGTGTGGGGGGGGAGGGGAAGAGTGAAAGGAGGGTGTCGAGGAGAAGGACCAGGGGGGGGGGGACGGGGGAAGAATGGGAGCGGCTGAGAGGAGTGGGGAAAACAAAGGAGGTGGGCTGGGTGGGCGGGGGGGGGGGAGGGGGGAGAGGGGGGGAGGAGGTTGGAAGACGAGGAGCGAGAGAAGGGGTAAAATCATGCATAGAGAAAGTCTGCAACAAGTTGGGTGCTTAGAAAGTGGTAAACAAAACGGATCAAAGCCATGACGAACTGGGCCCATGCTCCGCACCTGACCAGCGGCACATGTATGTTACACGGCTTCGTCAGCCCGAAACCTTGAACAGCCCTGAACTAAAACTCTGAACTAAAGCATGAGAAAAGCCCCTGGCTCACCCGCCACTGCATGCATACATCTCCTCGCCCACGCACAGTAGCATGCATGCGCGCACGAATGTATAACATATCACTCACGCACCTGCACGCCCGCACATAGTGAGCTCAATATAGACCGTTTTATGAACTCAAGAAAAGCCAGTTGAAGAAATTGGAGCTTGTTGTCGCCAGTTGTTCGCTTGTTGGTTCCGGAGGCTGGTGAACACGTTCAGAGCTTCTTTGAACGGTGGGCACGCTTGCTGCCATTGACCCGCGTTTCGCTGCTACTAGCCTGAGCCTTCGCTGATTCTGGTCCACGCTTCGCTGCTATCGACGGTAACTGCTGATTCGCGGTAAGGTCGCGGTGGCATGGCGATAGGGCGGCGTACCGAGCAACAAGGCAAAATTACATGTAGTCTATACGAAAAGGCCATTTCTCACGAGCAACCAAATGGACTTCTGAACCAGCTGTAGTAGTTACATCTGTTGCTTGCTGCATCCCCAAGCTGCAAGTTCCTAAGGCTACTACGGCTAGTAAACCCTAGGCACCTCATAGTCGTTGGTCGTGACGGCGTGTTCTACATAGCGATCACTCATAATTTTGAAGTGAATGCTTCGCTATAAGTTGGTGATTGCTGGTGATCGGATAGTGCAGTATGGCACGTGGTAGCAAAAAGTTTAAGGATTGAATAGTGTACGAATGTTTTACAGATCACCGATGTCCTTTGCAATGTCCTTTAGGACGCGTCACCTCTCTCGAATTTGCACGATCGATCCTGCGCAGGATCGAATGTTTACGGAGTTGAAAAAACGGTTCAAAAGATTTTACATGTAACAAGCAGGTTTGATGTGCGGTGGGCGATCGGTTTTTTACGATCAATCGTGCAAAATCGAGAGAGGTGACGCGTCCTTAGTGAGCACGCACTGGGTGTTGCGTCTTCAAACTAGATCCGAGCTTCATCTATCTACGATCCCCCCTCTCCTCCAGTCCCGAAGCCAATGTTTCCGTACTTCACGTTTAGTCTGGCTTGGTGTTCTTATCCTTCAAGTTTTCATTACTTACTTTTGGAATACGCTGTTTGTATTCATGGAGACGCCTTCATCTGAGGGTCCTGCGTTATGGAAACTGCTGGGTCTTTATGCTAGGTATTTGCAGAAACACGATCCTGAGCGGCTCCTGCAAACTGTTCTTCCTACTCTCGACGACCGAAATTTCTTCGAAACTTGCAATGATTTGCAAGCTTTCCATGAGATCGCAGAAGTCCTTATTTCAACAAATGTTGAGCTCCCAGATGCCATTCGTCAGGCGATGGCGGAGGGACTGATTGATCGATCGTTGGATCCGTCGCTACCATCTAATGCAAACGAAAGGTTTGTTCGCCTGATAACAGCTTGCTTTCGCACGGCAAAGGAATACCTTCACAACAAATTGGAGACAATGGTGGAATTAGTCGACAAGGCGATGTGTTCACGTCGAAGGGAGCGGGGTTTCACCCTTCAAGATGGCGTTTTCATGGAGGAGATGCTTCTTGCGATTCACTCCCAGCCGCACTTGGACAAGGTTTGATATTCACAGAAATTTCACGAGGAACTTGGTGAGTCCTGTCACGTCTGACACTTGACCTCTGATTTGCAGTTCGTTTGTGAAAGGCCTTCCAATGCGTCTGAAAAAGGACGGCTCGAGGGCATTCTGGAGTCATTGCTCCAGTCGCCATCATCCCGTTTGCGTCAGCAAGCACTGAACTTGATAGGCGCGTGCTGCTTTTCTTCATTCAACGCGTTTCTCCAGCTGCAATCGATTCTTGACACATCCTTGGAGTTGGAAGACTTTGAAATAAGGCTTCACGCCCTGAAAGTGAAACTTGATGTCATCTTTCTTTACCATGACAAGTTCCCAGTTCTTGAAGTCCAGCGAGCGTGCTTGTCGCACCTTTTCTCGCCATCCATGAAGATGCAAGCGGTGGCTGTGGTTGGCATTGGAAGACTGCTGCTTCATGACTGCTTTGAAGATGTAGAGCCTTTGTTGTCGGAAATGTTGGAGAGATATGTGTACAAGCCGCCAGAGAAAATCAGGTAAGTCTATTGCTTGTGTTCTTCTCTTATTTCACGACGACTCAGGGGTGTGTTGGTGTTCTGCAGTGAGGATCAAAATGCCAAAGTCACACGAATCCTTCGCATGTTTTTCCAAGAATATTCAGCAGAGAAAAGTCAACACCAGGATGAAATCTGCAACACAGTGGTGTACAAGATTCTTGAGGAGATGAGAAAGGGCTGCCTGGTGGTTTTACCCAATGGCAAGGTGGGGTACGGTGTGAAAAGTGGAGGCGCCATGCGCTATCGTGAGTTCTGCTTGGCTATCAAGTTTGCTCTTTCCTTCTGTGGGGATATGACATCAGCTATAGCTGAGAGTCTCAGCGTCAACATGCCAGTCTATCAGGGAAAGTCTATGTCTAAACAAGCCTTCAGCTCATGGCTTACTGCACTCTGAAGGATGAATGGCATGCAATACGGTATGTCCATTCCTCGTTGTAGCCATTCACATTTCAAGCCATACCATGTCTGTCACCCATATCAGTGAAAGTGCTCTTCCACTCCAAGAACCTTCTACAACATCTTTGGATGATTGTAAGTCTGATGTGAATCAGTCTGCTCCTTGCATGAGTACAGCAGGGTTCAGTAACAAGAGTGCAGCATTGTCATGTGGGGCTAACAAGCCAGCAAGAGAAGTATTGTTTCTATTAATCTGTCAGCAGACATACGGTAAACCGATGATGGAGCTGCGTCGACTGGCTGAACCCTTGCACACAGTGTACCATCCGTGACGTAGACTAGTTGCTGAGCAAGGGAGCAGCAGCTGGTGCAGGTTCACTCACAACCCTTTGTTGTTCTCCTGCCTGAAGGAATCTTTTTCTGAACACGGCATCATTGCACGGAAGGAACTGTGACAAACACACCGCCTTTTGCTCCTTCCCAATCCCAGTCACGAACTCCTTTGCACCAACTCCAGCCTCCCCGACATAACTCCTACTCCCAAGCACCTCCTCATGCGGCTTCACCACGTACCCATTCTTCTTTAGCGCCAGGTGTCGGGGCTTGATTCGTCGGTTCAAGCCAAGTGTCAAGAAAGTGGGGAATCTAAGAAGCTCAATGACTGGCAGTTTCATGTTGTGCTGTAGGTAATGCAGCTTGGGGGCAATGTTGCGCTGCCAGTTGTAGAACAGAGCATACGGCCAGAAGGTGACAAACTGGCACACAACGTGCCTTGCTGCTGAATCTTGAAGCAGCCCGCTGCTTAGCTCCTGCCCCTCCTTCCCCTCCTTGGCCTGCGTCCCCTTCTTCCCCTGCTTCCCATCCCCCTCCCTTCCCTCACTCCCTTCTCCATGCTTCTTCTCCTCCTCTAACATCTGCCCCCCGTACGCAGTCAAGTCACCGAGATTCCACCTGAGGCCTTCGGGTAGTCTCTTCACTCCTTGAAACACAGTACACCATTCGCCAAAATTCTTCTCGAGTGAAGCAGAGCTCGCATTTAGCACCGGCGGGAACCGTTCTATAACTTTATTCACCAGACCCGCCCCTAGCATCCTTCCCAGGAGCTCAATCTTAGGCTCGAGATTCCGTGCGTTTTTTGTCAAAACCATGGGGAACTTAAGGAGCACCCTGGTGGTTGCATCTTCGCCCAACAACCCCTTTAAGAACTGCATCGTTTCTGCCATAGTTGTGCTGGGAAGGCAGAGCAGCCGGGGGGAAAGCAGCAGCACCGTTCCCAACATCTCCTCCTCAACCCCCGCGGATCTCAGAAACAAGACTGACTCCTGTAGCCCCGCCAAAGACGATCGTAACCACCCAGCATCCAGCACAATCAGCTTCGCAACATCGCTGGAAGAAACGCCCTGAGACTTGAGAAACGAGATCTTCTCGTGGAGGTGGGAGAGGGGTTGCGGTTTGAGGAAGGCCGGACAGGAGGCGATGATGCCAGCAACAACGGTGGGGTCATGAATGCCGAGGGAGGAGAAGAATTCGTAGAGGTTAACGAGGGACCCATGGGTTGTGGTGCGCTTGGGGCGGCCTCGACGGGACTTGGGATGGTCGCTGGTGCTGCTGGTGTCGGTATTGGTATCACTGCTGTCGCTGCTGCTGCTGCTGGTATCACCTAAGCTGCTGACGTTGCTTCTATCCGTGATCCCCTTGTGACTGACCTCCTCATCTTCCCCCATCTTGGTCCCCCGCCCTTCATTGCCAGTCCCTTCCCATACAGTCACACTCACACTTTCGTCTCCCTCGTCCAACCTCATCAGGTCCGGTCCGAACTTGTCGCACAGAATCCCTACAATGATATTCACAGCCTCAGTGACATCAACCGGGCCTCTCTCAAATTCCGAACCTCCGGTCTCTCCAGCCTTCGCACTCTTTTTGGGCTTTCTTGCCTTTCTCGTCTTTCTCCTCACTCTACTATCTACAATCGCTAGACATTCTCTCATCGCTCTGGACATTCCAAACGCTTCTCCCTCGGTATCTCCAAGCCTGAAGCCCTCGGGCTCAGCAGACCGAGCCTCCGACAAACCCAAACTCCGACCCTCAGTCTTGGACGTCAGCATCCCAGCCTCAGGTTCAGCGAATATAGTATCCGAAGCTGCAGCTTCGGCAAGAGCCCGTCCAGCAGGTCTACCCTTAGTGGAAAATCTTTTGCCGCGACGCGGAGAGCTTTTCGGTGACTCCAGCTCTCCTGAAGCCCTAGTCCCGTCAGAGAGTGAGTCCCACGGTTCGGAGTGCAACTTTCGTCGAAGCTGCAGGACGCGCGGCAATTCGTCCAAGCCCGCGTCGTTCGAGTTGGAATAGTCTGCTTCTCTCAGCAGAGGAACTGTCGTGACGCCATGGAAACTGCTACGGAAACGAACGCGTGCGATCGACGGCCAGGATGTGATGATCGAAAGGCAGGAAGCAGTCCTATTGGCGGGGAAAAGGGCGCGGTCGATCGTTGAGGAGTGAATGGTCGCTGCAGCGATCGGGGGAAGCGCCTCTCCCCAGCCATTCCCCCCAGGGGTGGCAGGCGCGATATTTCGTCCACGCCATGATGACGTTCCTTGATTCCCCGAACTCGACGCGCCGACACGGACGTTCGTAGATGCTTGGGAGCTTGCAAATGGACGGCTGACGGACGGGAGGAGAGAGTGAAATCGACGACCCAGAATTGGCCAAAACTGCCGAATGCTCACAAGACGGCGCCTTCCGGCCATAGCCATGACGGAACGGCAGAACCGGGATTTGATTTTCAGAGCACTCTAGTCATTGACATAGTGTGAATGGATTCCATTGGAGAAGAGTTTGCCGAGAATGACTACGAAAGGTCACTGAGAGTCACCCTTAAAACGCAACTCGATGGAGTTGGAGTGGAAGTGACAAGCAGCCTATGTCACTACTAAGGACGGGGTATCATCCCCGCAATAATCCTAAACCCATCTACTCCCTCCTTATAGTCACGTGTGATTGAAACATTCAATATCGGACTGATGGGTTTCACAGTGCATGGTCAAATTCGGTTTCCTCCGGATGTTTCCCGAGCGAAGATCTGACATTTCGTAAATCAAGGGTAGGTTTTCGCACTAGTGGAACGATTCAGTAACTCACGACTGGCGAGGGATCCCATTTCGCAAGACCTACAACATTTTGCTTCCCTTCGTCTTCGCTACGCGAGAGCCCAGCTGAAAAGAATTGCACCGTTCTCTAATCAATGTGGCCGTATTGCACCACGCGGTAGCACAATATAACCAGATTAAACCAGCTACAGCCCATCTGGAAAGTAGCAGCACCCATGTCGTCATTCTTCGTGCCCTTCCTGGCGTAGATAGCTCCAGATGATGGCTCGACAAAGGTGGTGTGACTGGCATGCATTCAGGGCATTTCTGTTTCCTTGGTTGTACTCTTGCATGCAGTCAGCAGCAACATGAGTAATGCGTGACCTGGATTTAGCGAATGAGATCCTTGGTAACAGCCCATTTGCCTATCGTCCATCCTTCAGCTTGCTGCCATACTTCAATATTAATCCTTGAGGGCGACATCAACGCAACTGTTGCCCAACCCCCGAATTCAGGCATTTCTCTGGTGCGTTCCTCTCAATCGCGATGTGTCCACGAGTGTGTTTCTCTTTCTTTTTACTGTCGTCTCATATTACGAAGTCAGATACGACATTCCTTAATGCTGCAAGAGCGCCGTGTCACCGTCAGATTGTCAACTGAACAAGACATTTCGTGGAGAATCTTAGAGAGCCGAGGTAAGAACACTTAAGTAAAGTCTACTTCCTGCACAGCGTCGTACTTCGGTTTGGATTTGTTCGGCAAACATATAGTTATGGGTGCCTCTTGTTTTACAGGACTCAAGCTTCATTGAAAGGTCGCCATGAAGCGGACAACGGCCTTTCGGATTCTGTCGCTTCCAGACGAGATCCTCACGGTCGTATTTCAGTGCGTTTCAAGACGTTCGGATTGGCGCAATATCGCTCTCACTTGCTCACGCTTTCGCTACGTGATGAAACATGCACATCTTTCACTCGTTCTACACATCCGGAGGTCCCCATTGGAGCTCGTACAAAGATTGACTTGCGTTTCCGACGCCAAATACACCTGTATTTCAAGTCTGGCCATCTATGGAAAATCCTTTCGGCGGGATTCTAATCACATAATAAGCTACTTCGAATCAGAAGACGCTGCACGTCTGTGGTCGACAATTGGCTCAACTTGTCCCGAATTGGAAAGCTTACGGATCTTTGGCCTTGACTGCCTGAAAGAGAGTGCTTGGAGGAAGCTGGGTGAAGGATGTAGGTTAGTACAAACTTGGCGCTCTAGTTGCCTCACCGTTTTCATCCTAGCTGTACTATCCTAATTCATCGTTTTCACAGTTGTTGCTTACTCCAGGCTGATCCTATTGTTTGTCTGTCTCAGGCTCCTGTCCACCTTGGAGGTTGATTTCATATCGCCACCTGTCGCCTACCCTCCATTTGACATATTCCGCTCATTGGAATCCCTCTTGCTTCATCTCGACAAATTCGCCGCACACGTTCCCTCCCTCGCTCTCTGTTCCTCCCTGACTTCCCTCACCCTCTGGAACTGCAACGAATTCCAACTCTCCAAACTTGCTTCCTCCTCCCCTCTTCCCTCCTTACGGTCTCTCACTTTCTACAATTCAATTCTCACACACCACTCTTTATCATCTCTCGCTTCCTTTCCCAACCTTTCATCGCTTTCCTTCCATTCGTGTATGGGGCTGGATGTTGATGATATGCAAGCTCTTGCTTGCTCTCTTCACAACCTCACACACTTGACAATAGACAAGTGCCTCCTGGTCTCAAGTTCAGGTGTAGCAGCAGTTGCTGAGGGCAACCCAAAACTCACATCTCTCGGCTCACATCTTCTACTCAGTCCAGCGCGGCTGAAGGCTTTGCTTGCGTGCTGTCGCCAGCTTTCTTCGCTTAGCCTTCCTAAAGGACTTGTACTTCATCCCAGCTTGCTTGCAGACTGCAGCAGCCTTCAGAGTATTTCCATCAATGATGGAAGTGGGTCGCTAGAAGGCTTGGTTGGTATGCTGTTGCGGGTGGAGAAAGCAAGCACAGATGGAGACAACTGTATGAGGCAGGAGAAGGCTGTTAATGGAAAAGGTGCAAGGCAGAGGGGAGCGAGATGCAGCAAGGTGGACAATAAGGCATTGATATGGGGAAGACGGGGTCACCTGGTTCGTGTAGCTGCTGGTGCTGCTCGACAAAACACGGCTTCGGCTTTGAAGCAGTGGCATAACTTGCATGGTCACTGTTCATGTGTGACAGGATCGGTACGAGGGGAACTGATGAAGACACTCTACAAGATTGAGAGGGGGGGGCTACCAGTTTCAGATTTCGGCTGAATTTGCTCATTTCAAGATGAAGATTTATGCGTGTGATCTTCTAAAGCAGGTTCGTGCTGAAGCCGCAGCTGCTTTAGAGGGAGAGGAGACTTTGAAGAGACAAATCTCAGCTGCCGAAGACTCATCAGCTTTTATTCTGAAGCCTGGTGAGGCATTGGGAGCAGCGGAATTAGCAGATTCAGTGGCACTACCAGCAGCTGAAGAGGGATCAGCATGGCCTTTGGTGGACGTATCTGACAATGCTGATGGTTCAGATCCAGAGGAGCAGCGTGAAACTATCCTCGTCGCTATGAGAGCACTGTCTACGCAGCTTGAGGCAGTAGATCAAGCTCTTCGGGATTCAGCTCCTGACCTGGTTCGGACCCCCACACCCCCTGAGCTCCATCTGTCTGGCGGTCTGAGAGTGGAAGCACTTGGCATAAGAAATCCAGGTGAAGCTGTAGCAGTTGACTTCACAGGCCCTCTGCTTCAAGCCTTGTCCCTGAATGCATTCCAGTTCACCCCCTCGACAAAACCAGCCTGGCTGCAGAAAGCCTTTCACCACCAGCCTAACTCGTCCCTCCCTGAAGCCTCCTCTTCGTCCTCCTTAAACACACCATCGCTCACTTCGCCCAAACCTCATGACTCATTCCAGTCTATTCTATATGCGGCTGCATTTGAAGGTCTGCATAGGCTCTCGCTCGAACGCTGCTCCGGCCTTGAAGAAGATGACTTGGCTGCTCTACTCAACGCATGCCAGGGCTTACTTCACCTGACGATCGACAGGAACAAGGACTTCTCTGATAGAGTTATAGCTAGGGTGAAGCTGCCGTTCCTCTACTCCCTGAGCATGCTTTCATGCAAGAACGTTTCTGCTGCTGGTGTTGATGGGCTTTTAAGAAGCTTCCTCAGGGTGGCGCGGGTGAAGGTGGAAAAAAAAAAGGTGACTGAGAGGACTGGCAGGGCATTGAGCCGTGAGTGTGTGATTGTGAGTGCCTGATGGCAGGTGGGGAAGACAAGGGTGGAAGGCACAGTTGGCAATGTACTTTGGAGATGGATTTGTCTGGATCATGTTACTAAGGTAGATATTATAGATTTTACCCTTTTGTTTGGTCTTTGAAAACTGCACCAAACTAATGTTCACCACACAGAGCAGTTGTGAACTTCATTTCAGTGTTGTATGATAGAACACATTGCATTACACTCAGGTTTATTCCATCCACACAAACAGTACCTTTCCACAACCAACCACTCTCTCTAACCTAACCCATCTCACAGCAATCGATGCTTTCGCTCGCTCATTGATGGACGCAAAGCTTCGTCCGTCTGTCCACAGCCCACCCAGAACAAAATAGGCTATACAGTGGCAGGCAAGGCCGAAATCTAATCAGATTCAGGCAATGGCCTGGTTGTAGAACAGGCGGGTGGTCTCGGGGCAACACATTGTGGGTGTCAACCTTAGAGGGCTGGAGGAGACTCAAGATTGGATGGAGATCAGGTCGTGTGGATGGCTGGATAGCAGGCTAGCAGCTGGAGGAGTTGCATATTACAAGTGATAGGCAGCACAGCTCAACAGGTGCAACTCAAGCATGGCTCAGCCTCCAATCCCACGCCGCCACCTGTACTCCGCTACCAGCCTATCTGCCAGCGCAGCGAGCCGCTCCTCATTGGTGAGCGCCAGCTGGCAGACGTCCCCCGCCAGCGAGGGGACGACGTTGCCGTGGGCTTTAAGAGCGTCCTCTGCCACTCGCTGCAGCAGCTGGATGTTCCTCCGTGATGCGTTGTCCATCCTGGTCGAGATGGACGGCAGGGATTGCACCTGGAGGCGGTGTGCGTGTGTGGAGGTAAGTGTAAGGATGAGAAACAGATACGTTTAAAGCCATGGTGGAAGGGATAAAGAATCAACAGCCAGATGGCATGTTGCACTGAGCCGTTTCGCAGTAGAAGATCAATGTTATAAACAAGATGGTGAAGTAAGGGTTAGCAGAACTGACCTTTCAGTCAACAGATACAAACAACTAGGGAAGATGGCTCAGCAAAGGCCACTGACCTTTATTGCGTGTGTAGTTGTCAATATGCTCAACCATCAGGGCAAGAAGGCGCATCTGAGCCTTGTGGGTTCCCTCAAAGAGCACTCCCCATTGCAAAGCTCACCCAACTCACTTCCCCCCACTGATATGTTCACTCACCTCAATGCGTGTGTAGTTGTCAATAGCCCCATCCGCCAGAGCAAGGAGGCACATCTGAGCATGCACCATGTTGCCTCCACCCCACACCATCACATCCACCATCGGCTCTGCCCACCCAATCAGTCCCCATCTGGGAGTGGAAACACAGGAACACAAGGCACGGGTGGGCACAGGAGGGAAAGTCTCATAAGTCCCACCACCACCGCCAGAAGTCTCAAGACGCGATGCAAATCTCTCAGTACCAACCAACCTCCCTGCATAAGTCTAGTACTCACATCACACTCCCCCACACTCACTTCTTGACATCATCAATGGAGTATCGCCGCATGTGCTCGCCTGCTCCCAGCGACAGCACCACCACATCGCGGAACGTCAGCCGAGCTTGAGACAGAGGCTCCCCACAAAGCTCGCTGCTTCCCGCTGCTTCCTCTCCCCCTGTTCCTGCTCCTCCCTCCCCTCCTCCTTCCATCCCCCTTCTCTCTGCTACTCCCTCCCCTCCTCTTCCTGCTCCTGCTTCCCCTCCCCCTCTTCCCACACCTTTTTCTACACCCCTGCTGCCTGCCCCTGCTTCCCTCGCCTCCCTATCCACCCCTACCTCTTTCCCTTTACTCTCTACCAAAGCACTATGAAGCAGCGGACTCGCACTCAACTCTGCCGCCTGCTCCAGGTCTCCAGCTAACAGGCAGGCCGCATCAGCAGATGCTGCACCAGCCAGCGCCCCCTTCGCTCCTCTTTTCTTCTGCATCGCATCATGGAGCAGTGGGTTCACACCCTGCTCTGCTGCCTCTTCCATATCTCCAGCCAGCAAACAGCTCGCATCGCCAGATGGTGCTGCAGGTGAGATTTCTCCGTGCAGATTCCCTGCACTCGTGTCTGCTGCTGCTGCCTGCGAAAGGTTATCTGCGGCAGCAACTGGAGCAGAAGTTGAGGCATGAAGGGCCTCAGTCGCTGCTGCAGATGATGGCATGATTTCCGCTCGTCGCAGTTCCCCAACATCGGTAGTGTCTGCACTGTTGCTTGCAACGTTTTCACTGTTTTCTCCAGGAGGTTTGAAGGTGGATGGGTTCGCGACGATGTGAAGGAATGCTGCCACAGTCTGGAAAAGTCAAGGCATGCCATAAGGACAAGACATGCCATCCTTGAGGAGAAGATGTCACATCAGAACCATACCATGCATTTTATGGAAGTGGAGTGAAACAAAGAAAGAACATTTCCCTTTTTGCAAGGGAAAGACAATAAATACACTCTGTAGTAGCACACAGAAAGAGCATATCAATAAAGCAGTGTGAAACACAAAGATTTAACAGAGAAATCATAGGCCTTGAAGATAACGAGTAGAAATGAGCGCCAAATGAGAAGTCAAAACGTGAACAAGAAAACCAAGTAAAGCATGACGGGTGAGGGAACGAACAGAACAGGGGAGCAGCAGAGAAGTGGTAAGTAGAGCTGCAAGAGCTGCCACACCATTTCCCCATCCATGCATATATCTGTCTCCTCCAATCACATCACAACACACCAGACCGCCGTGCTACAATGTCACCGAAAACCCATTCCCACCCCTTTCACAGGGTTACTCGCCAAAATGCCCCCGCACTCACGGGGTTATTAGCCACCATGCCCCCATCAACGCACACCATCTCCCTCCGCCCATCCACCGATCGAACGAGTGCCGGCATGAAGATGCTGGGAGCTGCTGACGTGGCTCTGCATGCCTGCATGGGCCAAAAAGGGGATGATGGAAAGCATTCAGAGATTGACTGATCAACATGCCCACACTCATGTGCCGGGTGCACCTGAGGTGACCCTGCACACCTGCATGGGTCGAGAGGGTGAGATGGAGAGCAGCAAGAGATTCATTGCTATGATCAGCATGCGTGCCCCATCCTCTCACCATCTCCCTCCGCCCATCCACCAATTGAACAACCGCTGATTGAACGAGCGCTGGCATGATGCTGGGAGCTGCTGACGTGGCTCTCCATGCCTGCTCGGGGTGGAAAGGGTAAGAAATAAAAGAACAATTGATATCCATGCCTCCACATTCATGCGCTTGAGCCGCTGACGTGGCTCTGCTGCTCTGCACGCCTGCTCGGACCAAGAACAACACCGGCCACGGATAAGAGGGGGAGGAGTAAAGAAGAGGAGAGTGAAACTTAGATTGGCAAGATGTCCGTCCGGTTGCTTCTCAACTCTGTCTCTATGTATATTATGGATGGTTGGTTCTTACAGGCCCAAGTTCTCTCCGCGCACTCGCGTGGTGACAAAGGAGAAGTTTTTCACCCTCAACGTGGATAGCCAGGCTGCGCACCACATTCTTCATGACTGCATGGTGGGCAAGCTGGGTGCCCACGTTAAGGGTTAAGAGCTTCACCTTTGTCACCAAGCGAGCGCGCAGAGAGAATTTAGGCCTGGAGGAACTAACCATCCATATCCAAGACATGGATAGACCAGGGAAGCAACCAATTGGACAGTTTGCCAACTTGAAGGACACTAATGGCACGAGTGGCAATCAGCGGAGTAGACAGAGCAACCACAACTCACTTTCTGGTCATATCAGGCAGTGACCGGGCATGAAAGTTCCTTTAAGCAGCCTCAGCCTCCACCTTCCCCCAAAACCTTTTTCCTCCGGTCGCTGCTTTGCCCTCTAGTTCCACAGAAGGGACGATGGCTGGAGTCACCACACGGGCTATTTTTGAGTCGACTCAAAAGTCACCTGGAGTCACCACACGGGCTATTTTTGAGTCGACTCAAAAGTCACCTGGAGTCACCACACGGGCTATTTTTGAGTCGACTCAAAAGTCACCTGGAGTCACCACACGGGCTATTTTTGAGTCGACTCAAAAGTCACCTGGAGTCACCACACGGGCTATTTTTGAGTCGACTCAAAAGTCACCTGGAGTCACCACACGGGCTATTTTTGAGTCGACTCAAAAGTCACCTGGAGTCACCACACGGGCTATTTTTGAGTCGACTCAAAAGTCACCTGGAGTCACCACACGGGCTATTTTTGAGTCGACTCAAAAGTCACCTGGAGTCACCACACGGGCTATTTTTGAGTCGACTCAAAAGTCACCTGGAGTCACCACACGGGCTATTTTTGAGTCGACTCAAAAGTCACCTGGAGTCACCACACGGGCTATTTTTGAGTCGACTCAAAAGTCACCTGGAGTCACCACACGGGCTATTTTTGAGTCGACTCAAAAGTCACCTGGAGTCACCACACGGGCTATAGGCCTCATGGAAATCCAACACGAACTCACAGGGCTACGAGCGGGAAGTCATGGCTCGAAACAAAGGAAGCCCTCCGTCTGTGAGGAGGAGAGGCGCGTTGAACGATACAGCCAAATGCCCCCGTAGTACCACGCAATCCCTGTAGAGGCATCAACCCACACCAAGCTGTCACATATAACTCACCTGGACAAGCGGGAAGTCGTGGCTCGAGACAGACGAAGCCCTCAGTCTGTGAGGAGGAAAGACAGTCGGAGTTCAACCCACACAGCCCATCATGGTTGGAATCACCACAGGGCCACATGCCCCGCCCAGATTCAACGAGAACCCAAAGAACACCCCATTCACAACTCACCTGGATATGGGGGAAATTGTGGCGTGGCTCGAGTCGGACGAAGCCATCAGGTTGAAGGGAGGAGAGGCAAGCCCAATCCCACAGCCCGATGCCCCCATAAGACCAAACAAACAAGACCTGTAACAGCAACCACTCAAACCATGCCAGCATAATATCTCGCCTGGACGAGGTGCAAGTCGTGGCTCGAAAAGGTCGGCCTCAGCCCTCAGCCCTCAAGTCGTGGACTGAGGAAGAAGTAGGGCCGCATGCGATTACACAGCCTAATTACCCTACAGTACCACACCGGCCCAATGGCAGCAAGAGCTCACAACTTGCCAGCATGATAACTCGCCTGGATAAGCTGGAAGTCATGGTTCGAGTCGGACAAAACCCTCAGGCTGAGAGGAGTGGGGTACGACAAGCCCTGTACCCACACGAACTCACAAGTCGCCATCACCACTCACCTGAATGAGCGGGAAGTCATGGCTCGAGTCAGACAAAGCCAACAAGCTGAGGGGAGGAGTGGGATACGACAAGACCTGTACCCACACGAACTCACAACTCACATTCACCACTCATCAGCATAACCCACCTGTATAAGCGGGAAGTCGTGGCTCGAGTCGGACAAAGCCCGCAGGCTGAGGAAGAAGTACGGCCGGGCGGCGCTGATGTCATATGACGTCAGCAGGAGGGGCTTGACGGCCTCTGATAGGGAGAGGTCCGCCGCGCCACAGTGCTGCCTGGGGAAATGACGCAGAAGCTGCTCCAAGACCTCCACCTGATAAGAGAGGGAGGGTTACAGAGCGGTACAGATGGGTGCAGTGCAGGGAAGAGGCGCCGCAGTGCTGCCTGAGGAAATGACGCAGAAGCTGCTCTAAAACCTCCACCTCAGAGAGGATCGGAGGAAAGAGGGGTTGCAGAGTGGTGCAGATGGGTGCAATAAAGTAGCTGACACGAGCCACAATGTTGCCTGAGGAAATGACGCAGAAGCTGCTACAGCACCTCCACCTGAGAGCGGTGGGGGGAGGGAAGGGGAGGGGGTGTACAGGTGAGAGGAAGGAGGGGGGAGGGGTGGGTGGGGTAAGTCGGAGGAGGCGAGAAGAGGAAGGAGCCAGAAGCGCTGCCTTCAATGCGCAACGGGTGCAGGGTCAGGTTTCATATTCGTTACATGTTCCTCAGTGTAGCAGCCCACAGCGGCCAGAATCGCCGTCGGAAGATGTGCTTGGAGTGCAGCGCCAAGAAGTCTGCCACGTCCTGAGCCCGGATGGCCTGTGGGGCTCTAGGGTTTAGGGTCACAGCTTATACTCGTTAGAAGCCACCTCACCTTGTATTTAGGCCGCCAAATGTTCCTGATTGTAGCAGCCCATCGCGGCCAGAATCGCCGTCTGAAGATGTGCTTGGAGTGCAGCGTCCAGAAGTCTGCCACGTCATGAGCCCTCATGGCTGGCAATGATCATACGTATGAGCCACCTCACCTTGTGATTGGGCCGCCATATGTTCCTCAGGGTGGCAGCCCAACTGGGCCAGAACCGTCGCCTGAAGATGTGCTTGGGAAAGACTGCCACGTCCTGCCTGTGCCCTCATGGCTGGTCGGGTAAACCCTGCCACGTCGCCCTGGGGGGGGCTTGAGAGCATGCTCACCTTGTACTTGGGGCGCCATATGTTGCGCAGGGTGGCAGCCCATCGCGGCCAGAATCGCCGTTGGAAGATGTGCTGGGAGTGAAGGGTCCAGAAGTCTGCCACGTCCTGAGCCCTGATGGCTGGCCGCCCCGTTGCCCTGTGGGGCGCTGTGAGCATGAGGGCAAGCAGACCGCCGCCGCTGGTGCCTGGGGGGATTGAAAACAGGCGAAGAGACAAGGAGATTGCACAGATTGTTAGCCTTATTCCGAGCCCTGATAGCCGGCCGCCCCGTTGCCCTGTGGGGTGCTGTGAGCATGAGCGCGAGCAGACCACCGCCGCTGGTACCTGGAGAGGAAGAAGGAAGAAGGGAAACGAGAGAAGAGAGGAATGAAAGAGAAACAGGAACTTGCACAACTTGTTCTCCTTATTCTGTGCCCTCATGGCTGGCTGCCCCGTTGCCCTGTGAGGCGCTGTGAGCATGAGCGCGAGCAGACCACCGCCGCTGGTGCCTGGGGGGAAGGGAAAAAGGGAATGAAGGAGAAAGAACAGGAACTCGCACACCTTGCTATCCTTGTTCTGAACCCTGATGGCTGGTCGCCCTGTTGCCCTGTGGGGCGCTGTGAGCATGAGCGCAAGCAGACCGCCACCGCTGGTGTCTGAAGAGTGGGGAGGAGTAATCAAGGAGGGAAGTTAGGAACGAAAGAAAGAAAAAAAAGCCTGCACATCCTGTGCTCCTTGTACTGAGCCCTGATGGCTCCCGTTGCCCTGTGCGGCGCTGTAAGCATGAGAGCCAGCAGACCGCCACCACTGGTGCCTGGAGAGATGGGAGGGAGGAATGAAGGAGTGACAGGAGAGAAGGAGGGATTGAAGGAGACAGCGGAGGAACCTTGCACACCTTGTTCGCCTTATTCTGCGCCCTGCCCTCATTGTGTGATAAGCCGATTCTTGAGTCAACTCAAAAGTTCGCCTCATTCCACATCCTGAGCCCTGATGGCCGGTCGCCCTGTTGTCCTGTGCGATGCTGTGAGCATGTGCGTAAGAAGCCCGCCTCCGCTGGTGCCTGGAGAATTAAGAAATCAGGGAGAGACGGGAGAGACGGGATGGAGAAGAGAGAAACCCTTAAACACTTTCTTCTCCTTGTTCTGAGCCCTGATGGCTGGTTGCCCTGTGGGTGCCGTGAGCATGAGCGCAAGCAGACCGCCACCACTGGTGCCTGGGGAGATGGGAGAAAGCAAGGAGAGAAGGATTCGTGTGCCACTCGGTTGCAACCAAGTGACGTCGGTAATTGAAGAAGGCCAACTGCACTGCACATCAGCATCGCGGCATCTTTCCTGCAGCATAGCCTCCAGGCGAACACAGGTCTGCATGGACTGATCAGCCAAGGTGAGGGGGAGCAGGACGGCTCACCAGCAAAGAGGTCAAAGAAGTCTGCCAGGCGCACGTTGGGATCGCCGCACCGCTCCTGCAGCATCTCTTCAAGACGAACGCAGATCTGCGTGGGAATGGCGTCCCTCACTCCCCCTCCATCCACACTCAGCACCGCCAGCAGCCGCGGGGGTCGAGAAGGGAGAGGGGCAATAGCACCACCTCCTGGTGCTGCGGAAGAAGCATCGGCGGCACCACGGGCACCAGCAGCATCAGCAGCAGCAAGACCTTGAGCTGCCGTGGAAGCAGCATTAGCACCACCGCTGCATGCTGCCATGTCAGCAACATCGGCACCGCTCCTCGCTGCCATGTCAGCCTTGGCACCACTGGCACAAGTAGCATCAGCACCAACACCCCGTCCTCTGCTCCCTCCCCCAATAGGGTAATCGGGGCTTGCCACAGCTTCGCACCTTCCTGGAAGCTCCGGATACATCTGCATGAGCACCCCACTGTTGGAGATCAAGTTACCCTGTAGACCCTCCTCCAGCCGTTCTCCCACCCCCAATCCCTCCCCAAAACCCTCTCCCGATCCCTCTCCCAACCCATCTACCTCTACATCCGCCGCCCGAACAACCTCACCCCCCTGCTGCGAATTTCTCCCCTGTGAACCCCCCTCCTCCTCATGAGGAGTCTCAAGGCTCTCTCGCTCACCCACCCGTTTCAAGCCCCCCACACCCACACACTGCTCCAAGCCTCCTCCCCCGGTTTGGCCCAAACCAGGTGCCCCAGTCCGACCGGAGCTATTTGGGTCGGCGTACTCCTCTCTGCTTCTGCCACACACAGGCTCAGCGCTGTTGCCCTGTTCCTCAGGTGATTCAGGTGTTTCAGATGTTTCAGGTGATTCTTCAGGTAACTCTCTCCCTCTCCCTTTCTTCCTTCCTCTGGGCCCCCGGAAACTCCACAAGCACCCCTTTCCACGCCTCCCCACTCCTTGTTCTACATTCTCCTTCTCCTCTTTCATCACCAGCTCGCTCCCCGTGCTGATCTGGCCAGTCGAGGAATCTAGATTTTTCTTTTTCGAACCCCAGAAGCCAGTTAATCTGTGCCACGTGGACACTTTTCCTCCTCTCATTTGCTTCACTGCCAGCTCACATGCCACACACTCCTCACACACCACCACCCCCTCCTCCCTCACTCCCCCACGCACTATCTCTCGCACCCCCTCTCGCACTACCTCACTCACTCCCTCACTCTCTCCTCCACTGACACTCGCCTCCGAGTTTTCCCAATCCTCTTCCTCACACACCACCTCGTCTTCTCTCTCTATCTCCCTCACTCCCCCACTCCCCCTCTCCTGCGTCCCTTCCCACTCCCCTATATCCTCACATACCACCACCTCTTCCCCCGTATCCTCTCTCTCACTCCCACCCCTACACTCCCCTCCTTCCTCCTCCGCATCCTCGCTAAGAGGTTCGAAAACAAGACCACCAGGGGAACGAAACGAAACCTCCTAGAAATTCTCAAAACCCTCCATCTTGGAGGCTCGTTCTGACAAATATCCACCGTCCGATCCTGTTGCCATACCGCCTCCCTGTGAATCAGCGCAGCACCTCCCTTACTTGCTGGGAATATGAGTTAAGAAGAACGCGCAATTCCTGCTCGGATCTTTCTCCCACCGCCCCACAACCGCCGGGAAAGGTGTACGCTGGATATAACCTCGATATTGTCAATCTCGTTGATGTACAAGGATCGCTGGGACGCACTGTAGTACGTGGTGCCAGTACACGATCATTACGGTAAATTTGCAGCGGTTTAGCCGAACCCGCCAAACATACTGCACGCGCATCGGACGGTCCAGATTGTTCTTCTTCCATCGCAACAACCGCACTTGTGATTGGGATATCTCGAAGCAGCAACATGCCACTAAGCGAACGTTTACCAGGAAGCTCCAATATTGACTCTAACGAAATCTGAGTTTATTAGCAGCTTGGCCGTAAGCTTCAAATCTGCTCGGCGGTTGCCAGCTGGTTGTGCTAGTGTGACGCAAGAATGACGTAGGTGTAACGTGAGATTAAGCCTAAAAGCTGCATGAGCGACAACTGTGACGTGGCTGGTAGCGTCGCCAACTAGTAAAGCGTGTCGTGGCGTGGCGATGACACGAAGCATTCGTTGCTCGGTCGGATCATCATGCAGTGAGAGTAGCGCCCGGCGCAGGGCTGGCAAGTGAGCGAGCTGTTATTTTACTAAAAGCGAAGCACGTCTGTCTCTCATTCTGTAAAACGATGCATGCTTTGCAGAATTCAGATTCAGCTGTGGTAAGAAATTCCTCTTCTGAATCTAGGCATGTCGCATTGCATTTATGCCCCACTGCACAGTTCCGGCTGCTGATGGAACCGATCCGAAACGAGCAGAACAATCAAATACACTGTCGTGTTTCGTCCCTTCCCTGACATCTGTGAGGTGTATGGTAAGTGCTTCGCTTCGAGCGGTCGCGCTAAGGAGTTCGCACAGGGTAGCTTCAATAAAAAAGAAATAAGATATTATTAGCTGCCATTTTACAGCCATATGATTAAAAAACCCAACTAAGTTGCTTCTTCTTCGTCATCCTCCACACCAAACACCGATGCAAGTTTCTTTGGTGGAGCTGCAGCTTTCGACTTCCCAAAAAAACCCTGAAAGTCACAACCGTTGAACATCGAATGATATTTAAAATGCAAACCACAGGGGCAAGAAGCAATGCAATGTTTTTCCAAACGGCATCGTTAGTACCTTCTTTGCGGCTCCTGGTTTGGTCTTCATTGAGATGCCAAATTTGAGGGCAGAGCGATCAGCGGGAATAGCCGAAGTCGTTGCGGTTGGACGGGGTGCTGCTGCTGACACAGCTGATGCCCCGCCAGCTTCTACAGCTGCTGCTGCTGGCGCCACTCCTGTTGGCTGCTGCTGCTGTTGCTTCTGGGCCTCCACACTGCAAGGACCGATAAAGAAAATTGAATTACTTAAGAAAGCAGACAGTGTAGCAAAAGCTACTTCAAGACATTCCAATCGCCATGGTGCCAACATGCACTCTGAAAACATATCCGGTGCAGCATCTAAGTCCTTCAGCAAAAGACGGGAGTCACAGCTAGCTTGGCATATCGCGCCAGCTCCTCCTCCTCCCTAATCCTCCTCCCTCAGCAGCGTTTTAATCGACTCAACAACCAGGCAAGCCATCTAAGTACCTGAGCAAGAGACAAAAACCAACAACAAGAACGGGCTCACAGCTTGGCATAGCGCGCCAGCTCCTTCGCCTCCCTCAGCTGCTCTTGAGATGAATCAAAATCAGGTGCAGAACCAAAGGCCCCGCACAAGAAAAGAGAAACGGGACTCACAGCTTGGCTTGGCATATCGTGCCAGCGCCGTCTCCCCCCTCATCAACCCTTGAGTCGAGGCACGACATGTAAGGACGCAGTAAAAGTAGACGATTGATCGTCAGTTGCGATCGGTGTGCGGATTGGTTACCCTGTTTACTAACGTGTAACCATGCTACAGTAAGGTATTTGTGAATAATTCGGTGTAGACCTTTCCGAGGCATCAATGCGCAGATGATGAGCACGAACCGAGCACAACAGGCACGATTGATCCTGCTGAGATTTCGGAGCGAGTAAACGGAGACGCGCATGATTCTGACATTTCGCGAAATTTCAGGCTGGTCTCCCTCTGGGCTGCGAATGTCGCAGGCGTTGTTGCGAGAAGGGGGTTTTTCTTTGTCAGTGTTGCAGGCAAAACCGAAATCTCGATTCTGGAATATCCAACCCTTCACGCTGGAACGGTCGTTACAACCATGTCAGCGCATCGTTTCGCCAACCGATCGGCCCAATCGATTTTGCGGATTGATATACACGCACGATCCTGCGAGATTCTCACTTTCACCGCGCCCTAAGGCCCCGAGCAAGAAAGGAAGAGTGGGCTCAGGGCTTTGCACCGTCAGCTCCTTCTCCCCCAGTGGCGTTGGAGTCGACTCAAGTACCAGACACAACGAGAAAGAGAGAGAAAAATTCAGGAAGGAACTCACAGCTTGGCGTATCTCGCAAGCTCCTTCTCCTCCCTCAGCTGCTCCCTCCGCTGCCTCTCATCCCGCACCCCCTGCTGCTGCATCTTCTTGGTCTCTTGGAAGCGCTGTAAGGAGGAATGTGGTGCCATGGAGAATAGAGAATGGGGTATGGAGAATAAAGGTTAGTTAGTTACATTGGAAAACCCTTGCTGCTGCAACTTCTTGGTCTCTTGCAAGCGCTATGCGGAGACATGGTGGTGCAATGGAGAACGGGGAATAGAGAATGGAAAATGGGGAATGGAGAGCAGGGGTGGTTACAATAGAGAATGGTAAACTAAAAAAGGGAAGGAGGCTAATGAAGGAAAAAAAAAAAAAAAAAAAAAAAAAACTAGCTGCAATGAGAAGGAAACTGATAGCTACGATTGCTGGTGCTTTGTGGAAACACAAGGTTATGGACAATGCGTAGTACAGCAGGATTCTGGTTCATTGTAATGATAGGGAGCCAAAACAATAGCTCTGAACACACACCAGCGACATAAAAATCCCCTCGAACCCTTCAAACCTCTCAGCACCCCTCAGCACCGCTCACCTTCCTGTGGTTGTGGTCGTAGCTGCTGAGGTGCATCTCCATCTCGCTCGCCAGCTTGTACTGCTTGTTGCACAGCTCGCACAGAAACACCTTTTGAATCCCCCCGAGGTGACTATTGTGTCAACTCAAACCACACCTTGCGAAAGCCCTCAAACCCCTCATCACCCCTCAGCAACCCTCAGCACCGCTTGTTACCGCACCTTCCTGTGATTATGATCGTAGCTGCTGAGGTGCATCTCCATCTCGCTTGCCAGCTTGTACTGCTTGTTGCACAGCTCGCACAGAAACACCTTCTGAATCTCCTTCACATCTGCCCGGATCTTCTCCACCCTCTCCGCCACCTCCTGGTTATGCCCACCGACGCATAGCATGTGTGTTGTACCCGCACGAGTCACACAGCGCATGTGACGCACATGCGCCGCCGCAACGTGTGCCGCAACATGCGCCACCACCGTGCATTACGCACACCATGCCATGGCGACACAGTTGCACGGATCCCCCAGGCGTTGCCACGAGCGGGATGGGGGCACCCGTGGGAGGGGTTTAACAGAGCAGTTGCAGCATCACCAGCAGCGGTTGATTGTTGGTTGAGAATGATAAGCAGCCATTTGGGAGGGACAGTCACCCGTTGAGGAACCACGGAGGAGGAGGAGGAGGAGGAGGAGGAGGAGGAGGAGGAGGAGGAGGAGGAGGAGGAGGAGGAGGAGGAGGAGGAGGAGGAGGAGGAGGAGGAGGAGGAGGAGGAGGAGGAGGAAGGGAGTGGCAAAACGTGCAGACACGGAGAGGAAACGGGAGAGGAGACAGAAAGGAGAGGGGAGGGGAGGGGAGGGGAGAAGAGGGTAATAACAGCCAAGGGGGCGAGCGATCCATAGGGCCTCCTTCCTTCCTGCTGCCCTTGGCAAGATAGGTGGGCTCTAAGCCGCAACATGCCATCTATGTGGATTAGAGCCCATCTCTGGTGTGTCTGCTGCACCGCGCACACACGGTCACCAGAGATGGGCTTTAAGCCGCAACAGCAGTGCAGCAGACCGTGTGAGTGTGGTGCAGGCTGCAAGAGGTGAAAGGGTGGAAGGATGATGCAGCGCGTGCTGTGACTGTGCCTGGAGGCTGGGGTGGATGGGTTGTTGAGAGGGACGCGGAGGAGGGGTAACAGGGGCGGCAGAAGAGTGACGAAGGTTGAGAAATTCAAGTCCAGAGTGAGAATGGATGAATGTGTGGAAGGAGCATGTGTGGAAGGAGCATGTGGGGAAGGAGCATGTGGGGAAGGAGCATGTGGGGAAGCACGAACAGGAGCAGAATGTGCGCTCCTGTTGAAACCAAACAACACTGCAATTTGTCCTCTCTTCCCCTCACCCCTCTCTTCCCTTCACGCCTCTATTCTTCTCCACCTCCTCTCCTCCACTCTCCTCCAATCCACCTTCAACTCCACTCTCTTCTTCCAAAAAAATGTTACACTCACCTCTTCCAACCCCCCTGGACCCAGCCCAACACCCCCCTCACCTCTCTCTTCTTCGCAATTTCCTCTGTCTCCTCCACTTCTATCTCAAGCTTCTTTCGCTGCACGTTCTCCTCTGCCGTATACCACTCCTCCTCCTCCTGCTTGCCCAGCCCCAGCCGCGCATCCCTCATCTCCGTGCGAACCGGGTCTACTATGCCTGTAGGAGGGGCGAGAAAGAGGGAGAAGGGGAAGGTGGAAAGAACAGATGTAGGGAGGCCAGTGGGAGGAAAAGGGGTTGCGAGTTGGGGGTGGGGATGGGGGGAAAGTGGGGAAGAGAGGAGGGGGAACTAAACCCCTTTCTCTGCACGTTCTCCTCTCCTGTGATTACTCCTAGTCGTGCTTCCCCAGCCCCAGCCGTGCATTCCGCATCACTGTTCGCAACGGATCCACTATGCCTAGGGGGGATCGGGGGACGGGGGGAGTGGAAGTGTGGGGGGGGGCAGAAGGACTTTGAGTCGAATAGAAAATAGTCCCTCATTTTCCGTTCGCACCTGGTCCACTATACCTGGACGAGGGGGAAGGGGTAAGGGGAAAGAGGGGGGGTAGGTGCCAGGGGGGGGCGTAGGTGCCAATTCGGGATGTGCACAGGGGGGAGGGAGTGGGGGGAGGTGGGCAATGGGAGGCAGGAAAGAGGGGGAAGAGGGGGACACATATATTTGTTCGCTGCACGTTCTCCTCTGCCAGATACCACTCCTCCTCATCCTGCTTCCCCAGTACCATCCGCAGTAGGACTTTGACACAACTCAGGGTACATTCCTAGTGGAGGTTTGGGTGGAGGTTCGGAAGACCCGAAGTGGCCCACTTCGGGTCTTCCGAACATTGATTTGCCAGAGTTCGAGGTCACTTCGGGTCTTCCTCAACAACACTTCGTGTCTGACCTCATGTCAGACACGAGCCAAGAATGTACCCTCAGATATCGCCTCACATCTCTGTGAGCACCAGATCCACTATACGTGGCGGAGAGAAGGGGGAAAGGGAAGGGGGTGAGGAGTGGGGGGGGAGAGTAGTAGGGTTAGGGGTGGGTGCTGACACTGTTTCCTTCAATGTTTCTCACACTGTTGTTCCGTTCACTGTTGCCACTCTCACTCGTTTCACCTTGCTCGTTCCATCCCAGGCCCTTCCCCCGCCACCCCATCTTCAGCAGCAGCTGGAACCCCACGTTGCTGCACGCAATGGGCTTGTCTAACAAATTCACATCCAACCTGACTACTCCAGTTCACCTCAACCTTCTCTCGACGTTTCCTCTCCGTGTTGTTCCTCTCTCACCTCTCTCGCGTAACACCTTGCTCGTTCCGTCCCAGGCCCTTTCCCCGCCATCCCATCTTCAGCGGCAGCTGGAACCCCACGTTGCTGCACGCAATGTGCTTTCCCTCTTCCCTCTCCCCTTGCTTCCCCTCTCGCTCGTCTCTCACCTTGTTCATTCCTCCCGAGTCCCTTCCCCCGCCACCCCATCTTCAGCAGCAGCTGGAACCCCACGTTGCTGCACGCGATCGGCTTGTCCAACGACGCCATCTCCAGCCCTTCGCGGTCGAGGTTCTCCGTGATCCGATGGTCGATTGGCAGCCGGAACTCATCTCCATCGTCCAAAGACTGAGAGCAGGGGAAAAGACGGGGGTGGGAGAGGGGGGGGGGGGGGGGGGGGGCGAGGGGGGAGGGGGGGGCGGGGGGGGGGGGGGGGGGGGGGTGCGGGGGGGTGGGGCCAAGTGGGGAGGGGTGAACTGATCCAAAATGCTGCTAGGGATCGGCTTGTCCAACGACGCCATCTCTAGCCCTTCGCGGTCGAGATTCTCCGTGATCCAATGGTCGATGGGCAGCCGGAACTCATCTCCATCGTCCAAAGACTGCCACGTGGCGAACGGGAAGTGGGGAGAAAGACGGGGGAACGAGAGGGCTGGTGACGAAAAGGGAGAGAGGGAGTGAGACGAGGGGAAGTGGGGAGGATGAGGGGAAGAAGAAGTGAAGTGGAGGAGGAAGAAGAGCAGGGACACACGGAGAAGGGGAGGTATGATGAGAAGGAGAGTTGTGAAAAAGAGGGATGAAGGAGAGTGGTGAAAAGGAAGGTTGAGGGAGAGAGGTGGGAAGGAGGGACGACGAGCATATGCGACTAGCCGATTATGGAACAGGTAATCCCGTTGACTGCTCTTTAATGTTACTCGTACGAACCAAAATGGTTGACACAACAGTTCAAAATTCGTCTGATTCCCTCTCCAAATGTCCAGTTAGAACGTATTCCGTTACCTGCATTTAAATCGCTTGCAGGCGAAGAACGCTCGGAAACTTGAGCAGTGCAAAACCGCGCGTACGACAAGCTCGAGTAAAATAGTTTCTCGAAAATCGCCAATGAAACTGATGGCTTCAGGCACGGGGACGCGGGGGATGTCAGAAGGCGAAAACAAGACAATACTACGGTTTGCAGATGTCCAGTAGATCTCTGATATTGTAATAGCGCGGCTCGTCTCAAGTTACCGTTGGATGAAAAACCTGAATGAAGCCTTTTCCCTCGACTTGGCTGGTTTGCTAGGCTGAGGGTGTGCTTGGTTTGGAACAGATCACCATCGATTGATTGGCTAACGAAGTAAGGCGAGTTCGCGAGAAGCTGCACGTGATGATAGCCTCCACATCCGACCTCCCACCAACTTTCTCCGTCATAGCACACCTAGAATGTAACCAGCTGTAATGTGGTAGCCAAACTTTCCACAGAAGATGAATCTCCGCGAACATATACGACACAAATTGGAGAAGCGAAATCAATCTTGATCGCCAAAGCGCGCACAATCTCACGAAGTTCAGGAGTTCTGAGTCTTCACGACAACTTTTAGGGTTAGTTTGAACAAACATATAGAGGTTCGCATTCTCAGCTAGGTGATCGCGATTAGATCAGCTTCTAAGCTCCTTAGGTTAGGCTGTCACGACCTAAAGTTAGGCAGATATATGTACTTTAGCAGCACGTTACCGATTCTTAATGCGAAAATAAGTTACCTCATGCTTTTTCCGCAACGAGTAGCTTCATCATCGCTACTGCTGCGATCACAGCGTAGACCGCGTTATCCCTTCACCGGAATCTCGGGTCGATAGCCGGCAACGGACGCCATACCGCACCAGACGGTACCCGGCTTAGTTGTAATCCTTTGCGTGCGAAGAAAAGGGCGAGCTCTGCCGTAGTGGTAAACGATGGCGCGGCAGGTGTCTCGCGATCGGCGAGCATCAGACAAGAACGAGAAGGAAGGCACGGCTTCAGGTTCCGATTCGAAGCGGCGGCAAAGAGCGGACGCCGGGCGGCGGTATGAGTCGGAGACCCCTCCCGTGGGGAAGATCGTGGTGACTTTCCTCCTCACGGCCCTCGTCGCAGCGCTGTGCGCGGTCGTCGTGTATTACACGCAAGACCGCATGGTCAACGCTGGTGAGTTTGATTTCTGGGACGTCTAGAAAGCGCTGTGCGCGGCGGTGGTCCTGTATTACACGCAGGATTGCATGGTACGCTGGTGAGTCGCCGTGCTCTCGCATGGTCAACACTGGTGAGTCACCGGCGGCAAAGAGCTGACGCCAGGCGGCGGTACGATGCAGAGGCCCCTCTCGTGGGGAAGATCGTGGTGACTTTCCTCCTCACGGCCCTTGTCACAGCGCTGTGCGCGGTGGTGGTCGTGTATTACACGCATGATCGAATGGTCAAGCTGGTGAGTCAGCTGTGTTTTCGCATGGTCAACGCTGGTGAGTCAGCCGTGTTTTCGCATGGTCAACGCTGGTGAGTCAGCCGTGTTTTCGCATGGTCAACGCTGGTGAGTCAGCCGTGTTTTCGCATGGTCAACGCTGGTGAGTCAGCCGTGTTTTCGCATGGTCAACGCTGGTGTCTCAGCTGTGTTTTTGCATGGTCAACGCTGGTGAGTCAGCCATGTTTTCGCATGGTCAACGCTGGTGAGTCAGCCATGTTTTCGCATGGTCAACGGTGGTCAGTCAGCTGTGCTTTCGCATGGTCAACGCTGGTGAGTCGCCATGCTCTCGAATTATCAACGTTTGTGAGTCGCCAAGTGCTCGCATGGTCAATACCGCCGTGCTCGCTACCTGTGGTTGATTCCTGGAGACCTCGCTTATCTCCAATGCTTCGTGAATCTGAAGCCTTGGCCTCCTTCTCCCCTCTGACGAGCTTTGCCCATGATATATGGTTCGGGCAGATATGTGGTGGGGGAAGGAGAATTATTTTATGGAATACTGTCACGGTGATAAGTTATTGTGATTGCGATTAAATATCGTGGCGAAACATATTATGTTGGAATGTTATGACGTAATTTTGTGATTGTGAAAGGAGAAGATGGAAGGGAGGAGGAGGAAGCGAACACAAGTGTTGCACTAGATAGGGAGGAAGAGATTGAGGATCTGCAGAATGAAGGAGGGAGGAGGTATGAGTGTGGAGAGTAGTGTAATGTTGTGTGGCAGAAAGTGAGTTCATGATGGTTGGTGTAGCAGCAGGTTAGAGCAGTGAAGGAAGAGCGAACTAGGAGACCTTGGGCGAGGTTGATGGAGATCGTCCAGTTGAGAAGGTAAGAAAGTCAATCTTTCGTTTTTGCATTGTTTTGCGGCTGCTTGATTCCTTGTCTCCTCAACCGACTTCTGATCATCCCTTCCTCCCGCGTTCCAGTTGCGTTACAAGGTTACAAACTTCATATGCTGTACAACGACTACACTGTAGCTGCCAAGAAACAGATCAATATGATCCTAGGGCTCCCCATGCCAAAAGAGTGATTGGCAGGCTGTTGTGTTGCTTCAGTTGCTATGAAATTGACATCACGATGGAGAGTATTCAGCCTTTGTTGTAAGTCATGCTAGCCAAGCCTGCAAGTGATTGGAACCAGCTTCTCTTGCGAATTCTTGAGAACACAGAACACACAGAACGCAGTGGATCCTGCTACAGCTCAGCCAATTTCTGCCGAGCGAACAATTGAAATCCGAAATATTCAAGGTACGGCACTAATGCTATTTTCATCAACCCACCTCAGCCCCCAGCATTTCTGAAATCGTCCCGAATTATTTCCCATTCCTCGTGACAAATCCTCTCCCTAGGCCGGCCTAGTCGCACTTGGACCTGCACTTCTTGGCCTTGCGCTTGCACTTCTTGTAGTCGTCGGTGCACTCCTCGTGCTCCTCCTTGTCGTCCTTGTACTTGCGCTTGCACTTACTGTAGTCCGTGTTGCACTTCTTGTTCTTCTTCTCGCACTTCTGCTTGCAGCTGTGCAGCATGCGGTGCGCCTGCGGAGACCACAGGAAACGCCTGGTTCCGCCGAACAGCTTGCTCAGAAAACCTGCTGAACACAAGATAACGAAAAGCATGGCATTACAGAAAGAAACATATCGTGGTCAGTACGAATTCGAACAGGAAGGTCGGAGGAAATGGCGGGGCATACGGCGTTGCAATTTTTTTTTGCTTGGGACTGCTCGGAGCTAAACGCACCAGGCTCCGACGCGGCGGAAATTTCAGTGTCGTCGTCGACGTTGGCGTCGAAAATGGCATCATCTTCCGCGATGATCTCATCCGCGCGGCAGAGCGGCACGAGCGCGAGTGAAACAACTAGGGAGAGCGCGAGCAGGATGAGGAATAGCTTGGAATGCCCCATCATGGCTTGGATGAGAAGAAGCTCAAGCTCACTGCTTGTCGAGATGAAAAGCTTGTAGTGAGAGGTTTTCTTGAAATTGGTGAATTTGTGAGTGAGAGGTGCGCCTTTTGTACCAAATAGAAAATGTGATGAGAGGCAAGGCAATACTTGCTCTGGTCGGGTCTATACCGAGGCGGGACTGTGGCGGGTCGGCTCGGCAAGGCGGCTGCGAGGCGGTTGGGGCCTGGGAGGGTGTACAGTGGTTACGGAGGGATTCAAGCTGGTCGGTTGCGGTGCGAGGTTCTTTCGCGGATGAATTTTCACTGAGAGGTCGGGGTTTGCTATGACGTGGCTAAATTTGCAGGTGATTGGATGGATTTAGATAGGGGTGATTTCTGTGTTGGTGGGGATTGGTGGGTATCGAAAGCATATTCCAGGTGGCACAGTGCCAACCTTGTTAACGAAAGTGTTCACACTTATCGTTTTTTTTTTTTTTTTTGGTAAAGGTTATGGGGAAACCCCCTTGGTATTACCCCGGCTGTCGGTCGTAACCCGCCTACCCATTTGTTTACACGCCTCGCTGGGTAACGAGGTTGTTGTATCCACTCCCAGATGAGCACCTGTATAACCCCCTTCTGGGGGGCTGGCTGAACACGCCGCAGGGGGAATTTGATCCCGGGACCTCATCCTTCGGAAGTGAACCAGCTAACTAGCTGGGCCACTTCAGGATGTTCACACTTTTCGTGCTCGAAAAGGGCTCGCGAAACGTTACTCCCAAATTCGAAAGGGGTCTGGCTGGAAATGGAACTCAACGGTGAAGCTGTAAACCAACAGGCAGCCAACTGCAGCGCGCCCCGCAGTCCTGATTCTTGCCCACTTCAACGCCCCCCCTCGATACAGCGAGGTGGACAAGCGTGCACCAATGGGAATCGTTTATGCCCAGCAGGCTGCGCCCCGAACATCAACAAGGGTCAAGAATGGAAAGTAGTACACCGATAAACTCTACAATGTACTCCATTACATTAGAGAAATTTACAAAAAACATAACTTTTGGCTCCCACTAACGGTTATGTGTTATATTCATGTAGATATTACACGTGCAGGCAAAAAATGCTCCGCCCACAACACTCGCTCCTACGTGACGCAAAATCCCAGATCCTCCCTTTAATCCGCGACGGAACTCCTGTTCCTCCAAAGGCGTGCCTTGGATTTTATAAAATTGTAGTGTCAGAACATAATCATTTACTTTCACATACTTCTAAAGATTTCTCTACGATGCGCCTCAGCCGCCTTGGATCTGACGTGGTGGTGTTCGCCAGCAACTCAGAAAACGACGGCATTTTGGCGGCATCGGCATGGTGACCGCATCCGGAACCGGGGTCGAAACCCGCCCAAGAGGTCTGGGCGTAATGCGGTCCGCGAAACTTCAATCCCCAAAACAGGAAATTTCACAACCGCATATGGAACCCCCAGCCCCACCTTCCTCATCTAGTGGCGCGAATTTTACGCGCCACTGACCAGTGCCAGACCGAGGGCCAAAAACGAACCAGGGTAACAAGCGCAAAAAAAATATAAAAAAACGAACGATTTCGACCAAGTCATGCGCGGGGGGCACTACGAAGGTGTGTTCGGGAGGGGGGAAATGGGAGGTATTCGAACCCCCCTTTGTCAAACAACAGGCTTGTTCAGAGGTTCCCCTCTGAACGGCAATGCCACGGCTGTGCCATCAATGTGCTTCAAAAAATGCGGCATGGCGATGTCATGGCTTGGGGATAGAGCTTTGCCTGAGGACGAAGTTGCGTCCCCGCTTCCATATGCCATCGAGCAGTTCGTTTTGGTGGACAAATGGGGGCGTTCGCCAGACACCACGTTGATTGTGTGACGCGCTAACATGTGTTGGGAATAGAATACAACGACAGTCGTCATCATGAGTCCGCCATGGATATTACCGCGCAGCTTCAAACCTAGATCCCGTGCAAGTTTCGTGTCAGTTGACTTTAATGACCACGGATCTAGACTCCTCGATACAAGGCGCAGCGATTGATACTCTTTTTGTGTCTACACGTCGGACATTGTATCACTCGCTTTACGAGATCCAGTTTCCACTCAAGCAACTAACACCAAGGTTCTTGCCAGGTTGCTACTAACTTCAAGGCTTCGGAACTTTGCTATATGCAACGCCAACAGCTACAATGGCTACACTGGAGTTATTACGCCTATTACTAACAATGATCCCAAGGCCTCAACCTCGGTTTCTCATCATCAGCGTCAAGAACAATGGGCCAGCATCAAGGTCTCTTGCCTACGTAACATGCCTGAAAACAGTGCAATGGCATCAGCTCTTTCACCGTCACCTGGCTCCTCAGCTTTGCAGCCATTCTCCTCCCGTTTCTGCAAGATGCCTCCCAAGGGGAAGTCCAAGGTTCTTCCTGAGGCGACGTCACTGGATGCTCCTCCTGCATCCCCTGTTCCTGCTGCTCCTTCGTCTGCAAGCAAGGACAAGGGAAAGGCACCGGTGGAGGACCTCAACAATGTGACCCTTGCTGACGCGCCTGCTAGTGGTTCAGGCATCTCCCTGGAAGAAAAGCTACGCTCGCTTTGAACGACAGTTCCTGACAGTGGTTTCATTGAGGACGACTCCGACGAGGAACTTGAACTTGAAGTTAAAACAGAGGCTTTTCACCGCGTCCGACGTACGGCGATTCTGCTGTTACCTGTGGCTCTCGCGCTGGAGGTGGCGTCGGTCATCACCACCGTGCGGACGCTGATGAAGCGGGTCTGGGCGTCTGCGCTCTCTGACGGAGCCTTCGAGTCAGCGAAGTTTCAAGAACTTCTTCCGGCGTATGTGGCGAAGACTCGCTATTGCCGTCTGCAAGTCTCGCTCCTGCGCAAAGATGACATCATGAGCGTCAGGACCAAGGAGGTGGATTACACACGCCCCAATGGCATGGTTTTCCGGCTTTACTGGCAACACACCGATGACCCCTCTTTCGTGCGGGAACGTGCGACAAATCCTCAGGCGATCGAGGTGGTGATCCGTGACGTACCTGCAACGAAGACGCCTGAGATGCTGCGGGAGCTTATGGTGGTTTACCAGCTGCGGAACAGGAAGCTGTCGGCGTTCAAGGATGGCATTTGCTTCCACCGCGTCCTGCATCCGGTTACTGGCGCTGACACAGATGTCATCAAGGGATTGGTGATCCCTCATCCTGGCGACAGGCACCGCTGGCGTCATGTCTTCGAAGATCCGTCGGAGCTTGGCCGTCGGTTCCTCGTCCACTTCCCCGCGCTGTCCTGTTTGCTCTGCGGAGGGCATCATTACGACGTCAACCATGATGCCTTCCTTACGGACTGGCAAAATAATATCGGGAAATGGAATCTTACCTTGGGAAGGGTGCACCGTATTAATGGTAACTGCTGTGTCTCTCATGGTTGCTCTCACCATTCCATGTGTACTTGTGCTAACTTCCAAGTGGTAATGTACAGCTGCTTCCCTGCCAGCTTCGCCGCTGATCACACCCATTCTGCTGGATCCTGCCATTGTGCTGATCTCCACGGGTGGCAACTGCGAGGAATGGCTCTGCACGCAAGTGGGGTGCGGGAAAGCGAAAGGGAGGAGCTTCATGACAGCGGCCGATCACATCACGTCTGCCAACCACCTCATCCACCTGGAGCAGCTTGGATCAGCCACTCGTGTCTCTCTCGAGAAGGCCAGCCTCAACATCACCAAGAAGGACTACGGGATCTAAGACTTATTAAGCCTGGACGTTAGTCAGCAGCAGCGGCGGTAGTTTTCACAGTAGTCGGTGTGTCTTGTATTCTTACCATGTGGATGCGTAGGGGTTATCAAGCTGTTGTTAAATGAGTAAAAGAAGCCTCATCTGTTTCGCGGGCCTCAATGTCAACGGCCTAGGAGATCGCACCAAACAGCAGCGTGTTATAGACTGGTCACGACAAGCAGCAGACATAGTAGCCTTATCAGACACTAGACTAGCCTCAGATCACCCCTTCTGGTCCCATCCTACCTTCCGCCTAGTAGCGGCAACCACACCTAAGTCGAAGGCCGGCGGAGTAGCTCTGTTCTGTAGGTCGCCTAGCCTTAGCTTCCATAACGTGTTAGTCCACTCCTCGGGTAGGCTTGTTTCAGCCGAGATCCATGGTCCCGGGTTGCAACTCACCGTCTTAGCCCGTTACTTCTCCGCAAAGGCGACCTCTCGCGCAGCTTTCCTCCGTGACACGCTAGGCCCGGTGATAGATCAGCTCCCACCGACGAGTCACCTGCTTATCATTGGCGATCTTAACATCATAGAGGATCCAGTGTTAGATAAGTCGTCCCGTTTTGGATCAGCGGCGGAAAACGACAGACTCTATGCTCGCTGCAGCCAGTTCCAGCTCTCAGATGCTTTCCGGACGCTATATCCGAAGAAGCGCGAGTTCACTTTCTTCTCGCAAGCTCAACAAGCCAGCACGCGTATTGACCGCGCTCTTCTCTCGCATTCTCTCTTACCTCATCTGATTCAGGCGTCTCATGTAATGCCAGTTGACTATATATCTGACCATGGTTATGCTATCAGAGTTGCTCTCCGGTTGGACGCGAAGATCTGCATGGGACTGGGTCTCTGGAGATTACACGCATCAATGGTGCACAAGAAGGGGGTGAGGAAGATAGTGGAGGCGACAGTGGCAAAGGTTGAAGCTACCGATGGCAGCAGTTTCGAACTTCTACTGTCGCGCCTGGTGGTGGGACTCCGTGCCTTCGCAAGGGAGGAAGGCAAGCGTGTCAAGGCTACGGTGTCGCACCTCGTTGACATTGTCGCAGAACTCCGTCAAGAGGTGATGCGCAACCCGGCCTGCAAGATGACCAGTGAAAGGTTAGCGGCGATGGATCTGCAGTTACGAGAGTACCAGGCTTCGCGCAAAGATAAGCTGCATCTTATGTCCAGCATGCGGATGGAACTCCGAGGGGAAGTGGCGTCACAGCACCTGACGGCGATGGTGCAGGCGAGTAAGGCGTGTACACAGATCTCCGAGCTGCAGACGCCCAGCGGAGTCGTCTCGGACTTACAGGGCATTCTCCGCGCGGCGTTCGATTTCTTCGCAGATATATTCGGGAAAGACAGATTTCAACTGGAGGAGAACTGGAAGCCTGAGAAGGGGAAAAAGCTGACAGACTGGGAAGCGGCGGAGCTGGCGCAGGATTGGACTGAAGAAGAGGTTAAGAAAGCATTCAGTGCGATGGCGGCGAACAAGTCCCCGGGGAAGGACGGACTGCCAAAAGAACTATTTGAGGCTCACTGGGACTTGTTGGGAAAGGGCTTCATGGCTCTGGCGAAGGACTTCGCGTCGTCCGCAGTTCTTTCAACAGAAGTTAAAGAGGCGGTCACGATTTTGCTGCACAAAAAAGGCGATAAGGATCAGCTGAACAACTATCGTCCTATCACACTGCTCAACTTTACCTACAAGGTGCTGGCGAGGGTGGTTGCAGACCGGATGAAGAAGGTGTTGTCCAAGGTGATCTCACCAGAGCAATATGGCTTCCTGTTGGGAAGGCGGCTGACTGACGCAGTGGGCCTGGTCGCTGACATCATCGATACAACTCGTAACGACAATAAAGATTGGTTTCTTCTTCTGGTCGACTTCAAAAAGGCGTTTGATTCGGTGTTGCGAGGCTACCTTTTCCGGACGCTGCGATCAATGGGATTCCCGGAGCGACTAGTAAGCTGGGTAGAAGGCCTGCACAAGGGGACGCAAACGAGGCTCTTAGTCAATGGCTGGATGGGTGAAGGAGTGGAAGTAGTTTCTGGGGTCAGGCAAGGCTGCCCATTGGCTCCGTACATCTTCCTCTGTGCGGTCGAGCCGCTGGCGCAGCTGGTCATCAAACGGAAGCTGGGTATTAGTAAGGAAGGGGAGCGCCTGGCCTACATCGGCTACGCGGATGATACCACTCTGGTCCTGGAGGGAAAAGCGCATCTGAAGAGGGCAGAGGAGGTGTTAGAAAAGTTCGAACAGACGTCAAGACTGGCGACAAATCGAGAGAAGTCATTTGTTTTACCCTTGGGGAACAATCTCGGTTGGACGACGGGTCGGACGCATAGTTTTCGGTGGGCGAAGAGAATGAAGCGGAGAAGCTGCTTGGGGTTTGGGTGACTCCCTCGGGTAGCTGCCAAGAGACATGGGAGAAAACAGCGGAGAGTATCTCGGGGAAGGTCAAGAAGTGGCAGTAGAAATACCTTCCCACGAAGGCAAGGACGGCGGTGGTCAATAATTATACGATGCCGAAGGCGGCGTTTCAAGCGCAAGTTTACCCACCTCCGGTGAAGCTATGGGGGACGATCTCCAAAACCTTCCACAACTTTGTATCTGCTAACCGGGCAACGGCAGACAGAGGTTTTAGGCTCTGGAGCACGGAGCTGCGGCATATCCCGAGGGAGCTTGGTGGGGTTGGCGTACAAGATCCGGAGATGATACTTGCCTGCCTCACGGCTAGGAGGGTGGGGCTGCTGGCGCTGGAGACGAACCGGCTGAAGAAGCATCTCATGACGAGGGCGGCAGACCTACCTATGGGGATTGAGACATTCTTCGCTCATGAGAAGCTGCTGAAGCACTGGGAGGGGAAAAGCGCGAGGTGGAAGGCAGCGTGCGAGAACTTCATGGAAGGCAGCGTGCGAGGGGAAAAGAGGGGACTGCGTTACTTGTGCAGTACATCGGGCATGGGGCTCGTGCTTGGAGGATAGGGTTCAGTGGTACTCACAGGACACTCCGACGCTTCTTGGGCCGACGACCAGGCGACTCAGCGTTCGTCACAGGGTTACACCTTCAGTCTTGGCTCTGGTTCTGTCTTGTGGTGGTCCACTCATTTTTCTTCTGTGCTTGGTTCCAGCTGTGAGGTCGAGATCTACCCTGGGGCCATGGTTGCACCGGATCTACGTTGGCTGACCTACCTGCTGACCGCCTTGGGGGAGCGGCCTCGTTCTCCTCCAGTTCTGTACGTCGACAACGAGGCAATGCTTGGCTTGTGTTGCGAGCAGAGATTGGAGCACAGAACGAAGCACATTGCTCTTCGTTACTTTCTTGCTCGGGAGCTGCAGCAGTGCGGTCAGCTTCGCCTTGCTTACGTGGCCTCTCGGGCCAACACTGCTGATGTGTTCAGCAAGGCCCTTGGGTCTGGTGATCATCAGCATTTCTGCACTACTCTTGGGTTTGTGCCCACTCTGCCTCACCTGCTGGTTGCTTGACTTATCCTTGTTGTACACTACTATATAACTTTATACTTGCATGTTTACACTTGCTAGGTTGTGATCAATACACTGCCTTGCTATTATACATCTGCATGTGAACTGGCCTTGTGGCCGCTTTCTTGTGCTCAGATTGTGTGGTGTCCTTGAGATCCACCCTGAGCTTTGCTTTGCTTGTTCTCTTGCTTGACTGTTCTTGTGACCGTCTGTTGTGTTTGCTATCTCCCACTTGGCCTATGGGGGTGTGTCAAACTATATGTTTGTGTTCTCTTTAGGCTATAGTGGGTTAGCCTACAAGGGGTACAATACTTTAGGGTTAGTACTTGTACCCAACTCATTCATAGTTCATTCATTCCTGCACAGTTATTCTGACATTGACCATCTCGACGACGCGGCCACTTGCGCCCCGTACTTCCACAATCCTACCGTTGAAGTCCGGCAGAAGCAACGTGATCTGAAAAAACATGTGGGGATCTGCCTTTTTAGAGAATCTGTGGAGATTTTTTTTTTTTACAAGCCTCGTGGAGGTTGGCGACCAGCGGCGTTCTACAGTCTTCCGAAATTGCTTAAGTAGAAGCTCGTGGGGCGGCCTATAGCTGCTTCGCACTCATGGGTGATCTCTAATGTTAGCCGTTGGTTGGATGCTGATCTGCGGCCGATGGTTCCGAAACAAGCGACTTACCTACATGACTGCTTTTCACTGCTGCTCATGCTGGAAAAAACTGCTTTTCCGAAAGGGATTCTTTTGGCTACGTACGACGTGACTTTGCTGTATCCCAGCATCCCATTACGGCAAGGACTTGATACGGTCAGCCGCTTAACCAAGGGAGATAATCGAATGATCTTCCAGACATGGCCCTGCTGAAGTGGGTCATGACTCATGATGAACTCCAACGTGGAGTTCGACAGCCAAATCTTTCGCCAAACGCAAGGAACTGCCATGGGAACTCCCGCGACTGTCTTCTTCTCCGTGCTTTTCATGGGCTGGCTAGACGAGATGCTGACAAGGAGGTGGTCTGGGACGACCCCGTTGTGCCACGTGCGCTATATCGACGATGGGCTGAGTATCTGGCCCGGATCAAGGGGGGAGCTGGAGGAGTACCTGAACACCTTCATCTCACTTGGCCCCAACACCAAACTCACGTGGCAGATCTCAGACAGTTCGGCTAATTTTCTGGCTGGTCATCTTCAAGGGGCCATGCTTCACCGAACAGGATACCTTGGATCTGAAAACTCTTCAGAAACCAATAAATAGGTACCCGTACCTACCTTTTTCTTCATTCCACCCCGACACTGCATGTCGGGTTTTGTAAGGGCTGAATTGAAGTGACATCTTTTACGCCCGACATCTAGCCCAACCTCTCTAGCTTCTAAGCGTGCTTTCTTCTGGCGAGGGATCGTGGTTACCCTGCTGACCTTCTCACACCCATCTTCCACAATGCTCTCTTCAGACAACGCCCGCTCCTTTTGGAGCAAACCGAAGCTCGCCAAGCACACCGAATTTCTTTCCCGTC